TATCATATTGAGCTAGTGATCATCTTCAGCCATTAGAGCTTTGTTAGCATCCTTTTGCTTAGATAGAAGGAACTTGTTTTGTAGTAATCAGTATTCTTTGATACTGGTTTCCTACAGTTGACAACAAAGTGTCCATTCTTTCCATAATTGTAGCACTTAGTGTTATCATCCACAACACTTTTCACAAACTTCTTTTTGTCATCATTCTTCTTCTACTTCTTCTCTTCATACCTCTTCTTCTCACCAATTTTATCATTGTAATCATACTTAGAACCGGATGAAAACCTCTGATTGTTGGAATGTGACTTCTTGTAAAACTTTTTCTGAAATGCTTTAGTAAGCATGACCATGGTTTGTTTAATTTCTTTCATTTCAGAATCTGTGTCACTATCAGAACTCTCCTCAACGGAAGACTCAGTTGACCCAACTACTTCTTTCACAAACTTTCCAGACTTAGATGTACTTTTCTTCTTTGAAACCAAAGCCAAAGGATCACTCACATCCTTCTCAACCTTTTTCTTAGCTTCTCTCAACTCCAAAACTTCTTCTTCATTTTGTTTGAGAGTCTCATACACCTCATGGATATCAATATCAGATAGAGACTTGTTGTATCTGATATTGTTGGCAAAAGATTTTCATTCAGGCTGTAGATTACTCAAAAAATTAACATTCATTTCAATCCTTGTCTTATTAATATCATTCTTAATAAGCTTATTCAGAAGTCTAGTCAGTCTCTCATAAACGTCATCCAAGCTTTCTCCTTCTCTAGCCTTAAACTCTTCATAGCTAGTAATACAATTCGTCACTTTCAATTAAGTTCCAACCTTTGAACCCATCATCATTTTCTCAATCTGGTCCCACATGATTTTTGCTGACTTTTTATAGCTATCAATACTGATATATATTTCATTTGTCAGTGCTTGCATCATGTATGAATACCACATCAGCATGAGCTCTCTCCTTTTCAGCCTGTGTATACCTTAACTTCTCTTTAAGTACAATCTCAGCTGCCTTATTTTGCTCAGGAATAGCAGGTATTTCTTTCCAAAATTCTACAGACCTTCTAACAATGATTCCATTATCATCTCTCCATCTTTCTGTCTTTCTATGAAGTTCAAGAATCTGTCTCTCCATTGGTTATAGTTACAACGAAATAAAACTGGTGGTTTTTTATCGGTACCAATTGCCATAGCTTCTCGTGAAGTCATTTTTATATTGATTAAATCTTTGATCTTTTTACAATTCAAAACTTAAGAGTATTTCACCAAATCAAACACTTATCGGACAAAAATTCAAACTTACTAGACAACAAAAGTAATTCTGCCAATAAGTTATCGGACACAACTAACAACAACCCTTATCGCCCAAAATTACTTATCGTCCACAACCTTTATCGCACAACCCTTAATCGGTCACAACTCTTATCTTTATTGATCACCAGTTCTTATCGATCACCACCCTTATCGGATACTTCCTTATCAGACAAGTCTTCACCAGAGACACACTATATCAGACAAGTCTTATCCGGATATACTCCTTATCAAACAATACTTTGATTGGTAAAGAAGCTTATCGCTTACAAGTTAAGCGATTAGCAAGAATATCCATCAATGCTTTAAGCGATGAGGAAGAGACTTATCGTTCAAGAGTTAAAAAAAATACAAGTACCAATAGGCGATGAAACAAAATCACCTTAGTTGTATGCGATGAGGATGTCAAATTGGACAACAAGCAGTATTTATCAAGCGATGAAGGATCTTATCGCTTGATGAATGAATTCATCGAGCGATGAAGATGACACTTAGTGAAAAATCCAGATTTCAACTAAAAAATGCTCAAATTTACATCAATTTGAAAGAAATTAGCATAGAACGATTCGCAACAAACAAGTAAAAAACAGATCAAAAATGACCAATTTGATAGAATTCGTAAAAACAATTTCAAGAACACCAAACACAAAAATCCAAAATTGATTCTTGAAATCAATTCAATTATGAATTTAAATGATTCAAATCAATTTCAAAATGAAATTCGCATACATTTCAATCAATCAAACACTAAAATTCATACAAAATAAGAGAATTCAATTAGAACAGTGAGTAAAAATGATATGATCAAGAACTGTCCAAATTGTCCAAATTCTAATCCGATTCTGGTTTGCTTCAAACCAATTCAATTCCCTAAATTGTTATAATCTGCTCTGATACCAGTTGATAATCCCAGAAAGATTAATCAATTTCACAAACAAATCAAGATCACAATAGCAATTTACAATATAGAAATACAGTAGAAAATTGAGAGAGAACTTCCAAATGCTTTAGTCGTATTGATCTTCAAAGCACAATGCTTGCAAATCACACTAACAATTACAAGAAATAAACCTATTTATACTAAGACAAATACAAGACAAATTACAAGAGAAACAAAGCTTGAATGCAACATATTAAGCATAAAGTCTTGAACCCAACATATTTAGGCTTTAAGGCCTTCGCGTTTTGGGCTTTTGTTTGTTTGGCTGGCTTTAAGGTCCAATTTATTTGGGTTTTAGTTGCACAATTTTAAGTTTCAGGAAATAATACGGTAGCACATTCTAAAACGATACAATTGCACAATTCACGAACCTAAATTTTTTATCCTTCGACGGAGGAATAATATGGTGGCATGTGCCACCTATACCACAACACTGTGTCCGTTCCTAATATACGTCCTCTTTTAAAACCATATAAAATATGTGTAAATATGTGGTGCACTCTCTAGTATTTCCTTCATATTATTTGTATGCAGTGATTAAATGGAACATTCCTTGAGTCATTCTTGAAAGCATCAACATTGTCATTGACGTTACACATCATTCCTCTTTGAAGAAGTAAAAAGAAAGTTAGGGAAATGCAGTAACCACAAATATAGTAGTGATTAAATAGGGCGTCCGTGATCACAATATCTACACATACGGATATACGTATGTTCATCAACAAAATTATTAACGATCTACAACAAGCAATATCACTCAAAATAGAAACAAACCAATAGTCATTAATGGAATCTTATGATGTAAGTTATTAAAAAATACGAACGTTGATTAGTAAGAAGATGCGGATCAATGATTACTTAGTATTATGAGAACACAACAACAATTACACATCATGACGTTTGATACGAACGAGCTTATATAAGTTCTCGTACTGAAAAGAAAAACACGTATGCACAAGTTTCGAATGTCTTTTGATGTAAAATCTAATCGTATGATTCATAATCATTACTTGATACTCATCATTATCTTTTTGTCTACATTAAATTATTGTTACTGATTTATCTATGTCGTGCAGCGTTACCCTTTCTTAACGTAGCATGCTCACGAGGTGCTTTCAGTTAGAGATAACTTGAATTCACGCATGCATTGTTAATATTTATTTCACATATAAAATTCCTATTTGCATCGAACGAGTTTATGTATATAAGTTCTCGCATACTGAAAAGAAAAACACGTGTGCACAAGTTTCGAATGTCTTTTGATGTAAAATCTAGTCGTATGATTCATAATCATTACTTGATACTCATCATTATCTTTTTGCCTACGTTAAATAATTGCTACTGATTTATCTATGTCATGTAGCGTTACCCTTTTTTAACGTAGCAAGTTCACAAGGTGCTTTCAGTTAAAGATAATTCGACTTCACGCATGCATTGTTAATATTTATTTCACATATAAAATTCCAATTTGCATCGAACGAGTTTATGTATATAAGTTCTCGCATACTGAAAATAAAAACATTTTTCAAATACAAAAGTTCAGTATCTTCCCACGAATTAGTAAATTAGACAGGATTCCTTTGCACCCATCGTCTCACTGGCCGACCTTGACCCCTGTTATTTTGAGGTCATATCTAGTATTCAGAGTTTGCCTCGATTTGGTACCGCATGTGCACAAGTTTTGAATGCCTTTTGACGTAAAATCCAGTCGTATGATCAATAACCATTACTTGATACCCATTAATATTATTTTGTCCGTAGTTTTTTTTTTTGTCTTCATGGAATAATTGTCTCTGATTCATCTATATCGTATAACGTTATCCTTTTCATTTTAACATAACATGCTCACGAGATGCTTTCAGTTAAAAATACGCTCGAATTCATACGTGCATTGTATATATTCATTTCACATTTATAATTCCTATTTGTTGTTAATAGTGCTTTCATTCGTTATCAATTTACAAAATCTTTCCTTTTTGTGATTAGTTATAACACACGTTTATTTTCTTACAAAATAATAATCACTCTTTAGGGGGTGTTTGAGATTGCTTATAAAAACAACTTATTGACTTATTTTGGTGTGACACCGATAATAAACATTTTTGAATGTTTGGATAAACAACTTATACAAGTGCCAAACCGGTAATAATAAGTTTTTAAATAAGTTAAGCCCTTATAACTTATGATAAATTGATAAGTGCTTTTATAAAAATATATAAGTTGTTTCAAATAAGCAATACCAAACACCCCTAAATAATTGTTCGTAATATGAAAATGTTGTGTTCTGAATGTTGGCCCAAAATCAAATTGATGAGAATGGTAATGAGAAGGCCCAAAAAGAAATAAAATAAATAAAAACCACAAAACACCCTTCCCCTCTTTGCATTCTGTATCATGTAAATGTAATAACACAAAATCAATTTCCGGAATCAAAAATCAAATTTCGATCGTCTGCCGCAGATTGATTCATCTCTCTCGGGGTTGTTCGTCGAACACTGCTCCTGAAAAAGGGATTGGATTTCTCGGTTAAATATACGTTACACATACATAGACGTACATTGTTCTATTGTTCTTGTTTTGATCAAAAAAGGGGTTCATTGAGGGTTTGTGATCAGTTTGAGAGGAATTCCTTTGTGGTTTTTCTGGGTTTTTGAAGTTGTTTTTTGGGTCTAATTTGTTTTTTTTTTCAAAGTTGTTTCTAGTAATGTGTCTTGTCTGATCAATCATGTTGGACTTTAGGATACAACGCTAGGGTTTTTGGGGTAATTAGGGTTAGGGTTAGGGTTAGGGTTGTTGTGAGGAGATGGAAGAGACTGAGCTTGAAGAAGGAGAGGCTTGTTTTGACGACATTGACGAAAGCATTGACCCTGATATAGCTCTCTCTTACATTGTAAGAGTTTTTCCATTTGTTGTTTTAAAATTTTTAAATCTTTTCATGTAACAAAACTAATGAATTGTTGTTATGCTACTGGAAGAGGAAATTAAAAAATAGGAATTGGACTAAGCAATGTATGATGGATGATCAATTGAGTGAAATTGTTCTTGAATATGTCTGTTTTGGGAATTTACCAGAGTGCTTCCTTTGTCCTATTGAGAAAAACCAAAGAAAATAATCTGCATTGTTGATTAGATTTATGTTTGATGGTAGTCTATCATAATCTTGCTTAGCAACTAGATTATTTTTGGTCCATTGAATTTAGAGTTCGTGATGGCAAACACTTCGTCTCATGCTTCTGTCACGGAAGAAACGACTTTCAGCACTGAATATAACCAAGGTGAAATGTAAAAAAATAACACATTGGAACTTGACCTAAATCAAAGTGGTGGATAGGTTCCTTTCATAAATGTGTCTACCATTACCCAATAAATTTGAGTTTATTGCACAGATGGATGGTGCATTTTACTCAACTTAGAAATTAGTCATGATGGTAGAGTTGCTGTGTTCCGTTTTCCTGTGGTGGTTATTTTGACATGAATTATTGCCTCTCAAAATCTGTTTGTGTCTTGTCCCCTTAATCTGAATCTAATACCACTTCTTTGAAGCTGTATTTCACTCGTGTATTAGTTGTAATGTGAATCTGATTATCTGTGTGCGTGTATCAATTAATTCAATTTTATTGCATTTTTCTGTTGATGCATTTCGCTGACCTAAACTTGGAAGTGATGACATGGGGAATCAGTCTTGGTTGTCTCAATTGGCAACTGTGGGTTTGCTCCATAGGTTACAGGTTACTAATACTTTTTTGGCACGATGAGTATGACTAGTATTTCTTTTCCCATGAGGAGAAAAGACAAATGGTTGTGAGGTCCTGTATGAAACTTATCTTGATCTTTATAAACGTCTACATGCAACTATATAATACTTTCTCAGTGCAGTTATGCTTTTGAGCATTATAACCAGTAACGTTTATATTTCTGCTTCTTTTAGGACAAGAGGCTTCAAGATGTGTTGGGTCATTTTCAGAAAGATTTTGAAGGCGGCATTTCTGCAGAACTTTTGGGTAAGCCACCCACAATAGAATTTTTCTACCAGAAAGAGGAGCTAAGTGCTTTCTAATCCTATCTGAGAAGTGATAGGACAATTCTAAAATGAATTTCTTGGCAGGGCCGAAATTTGGTGGGTATGGATCATTTTTACCCACACATAAGCAGTCTCCTGCAGTTCATTCTCATACGAAGACTCCTCAGAGAATTCTGAATTTCAACAAACCGCGTTCACCTGACAATTTTCGTTTGGAGGTATATGGAAATTTCTTGGTTTCTTTATCTTGATTGATATGGACATTTTGTTTTGTTCGACAATTGTTGGTTGTGTTTCTGTCCAGGGTGTTCCCTTGAATTCAGTCACACACAGAGAACCTATCCTCCCTGTTAGACCAGCTGCTGCTGCTGATGATTTTGCAAGCAAAGATACATCTTCATTGCTTGTTTCAATTGGTGCAACATGTCTATCAAAAAATGAAACCATTGCAAGTAATGTGGTAAATCCAACTGAGCAAAGGTCACTGAAGGTACGAATTAAAGTAGGTTCTGATAAATCTGCAAGGAAAAATATTGCAATCTACAGTGGTCTTGGACTTCTTTCTCCATCTTTCTCAACGGGCAACAATCCCGAGGATAGTGGTGGACAACCAACGGAATCTCATGATATCACTCCTAATTCTCCTGGCAGCATATTACGTGTAAGTTTCTTCATTTATATACCACTCTTGTTTTGTTATATCTGCTAGTACTCCTGTTTATTTTTCCTCACTTATTTCTATTTTTACCATGTAGGAAATGACGTCCTTCCTTGTCCCTGGCAACCGGCTGCTCTCACCACTAAATGAGAGTCTACTTTGCTTAACAAGGAGGGGAAGAGTCTTGGAGAATAGGCTTACACCTCCCATCATGGACAGAAAAATAAGCTCTACTTTTGTGGATGATTCATCTTCTGTTCTTGGAGAAGGGAAGCTGATGGAAGGAAAGGAAGTAAGTTCAAGAGACAAAAGTGAAGTTGTGGAAAAAATGAAATACAAGAACAGTACAGGTTTTAAGGGTGACAAGGCTCCATTTCTTGAAAAAGGTGTGGGCGCAGAATCTCTTGACAGTAAGCAATATTTAACCAATGATTTCAAAGTCAAGCTGTCATCCAATTCTGTACGTTGTAGTGGCGGTATGTTGACTGCTGCTGTTACAACATCTGAAGCAAATCGAGCAGCCAAGAAAGACATACTTGTAAAGAAAAGAGAAATACAAAAAGAATGGATGAAAGAACAATTGTTTGGCCCTGATTTTACAAGCAAGGAGTCAGAGGCGGTCTGTGGGCAGGATTGTGGAAGCTACGAGCAGAAAGATGTCAAACATAGTTCAATAGAGCATACTGAGGAAACCAAGGCAAGGTCCTCCACCAAAAAGCTTTCACTTGATTCAAGGGGAACCGACAGGATCAAAGGTAGCACAGTTCGTTCAGTTTGTAAAAATGACACTGATGTTTCTAAGCATGAGCCAGATCGTTTCGAAAAGAAGGTTGCTTCTGAAGCTACCACACGTGAACCGCATGAAGTAAAAGTACCTCGTGGTATTAACAAATTGCCATTTGAAAAAAAAACAAAGTTAATGGGTATTCGAAGCAGTGGCATATCACCTTCCAGGTTAGTGAAGGAGAACTTGAGGTCTGGTCCCTCTGGAGCAATGAAAGACAAGAAGACTGCTCAAAAAGATATTGTCAAGGTACGAAATAGCTACAAAGATGTACTTGACACAAGGGTGAAGGAACAGAATGACCAAACAAAAGCATTAGAGATGCCCACTGACAATGGAGCAAATCGCTGGGAACTTGGGGAAGTAAAAGGTAAACACGTTCCCATAAATGAATTTTCCGCTGAAGCAGCAGTCCCTCTGCCAATAGAAGTCGCTCCAGCAGCCCCACCAGACAATTGGGTAGGATGTGATCGTTGCGAGAAGTGGCGCCTCCTGCCAATTGGTATTGAGCCAGAGAATCTGCCTGATAAGTGGCTGTGTAGCATGTCAACATGGCTGTGAGTTATTTTCTGTTGCCCTTTACATTATATTCTTGTGGTATCCAACTTTTTGATGAAAAAAGCAATCAGCCTTTGGCTGTTAAGTTACTAAGATTGATCGTTTCTCTCTCTCCTGGCCTTTTGAGCTCCTCTTAAGGAATTATTCTCAGATGCCCTTGAAGCTATCCATTATTAGTTGTTAGAAGTCTTGTGTGCATGTTAACCCAGTGTTGATAGTATATAGCATATGCATGAAAACAGTATAATCATTCAAAAGCCTTGAAGATTTTGGTTTTTCATTGTGTAGGCCTGGAAGGAATCATTGTGATATTAGTGAGGATGAAACCACAAAGGCAGTTCAGGAGATGAACCTTCACTTAATTTCTCAGAAGCGGGACAGCCTTCAATATAATGGTAGTGGGGTTATATCTGGAGTAGTTCCAGTTAATGTTGGGAACTCTGGCCAAACCAACTTGAATATTAATGCGGATACCAATCCTGATAGTTGGAAGAAGAACAAGTTCAGACCTGAAGATAGCAACTCTAGTCTGAGACAAACTTCACATTCATCAATGGATGCTCAGCAGCATAAACAGAAAAGAAAAAGTTCGAGTGAAGCAAACCAATCATTGCTTGAGAAAAATGTGGTCAATAAGCCTATTGATCTGCATCCAAGAAAGTTGAGCAACTTCGCTGTGGGAAGGCATGCTGCTAAAGTAAATGGGAAGGATGTGACTGGAGGTGACAATGTTTTGCAGCGTACACTATATATATTGCTAAATGTGATAACTATGTGAAACTTGATTTTTCTCTGTGAAATATATTTGCAGGTGATCTGAAGCCTAAAAAGCTGAAAAGCAAGACAGGGTCTGATCAGTATCACTATCTAACTTCAAATAAGTTCAAGACTGAAGCTGCACCTAATACTGATGGTTACCGGAATAACAAACCTGTTAGGGACCTTGGTGGAAACGGTTTCAGTTCAAATCCTACTTTGCCATCCATGGCAGATGAGAGAGATATGGAACAAGATGATGAGCAACTGTACACTAGCAATGGAGATCATCAGTGCAGGGACAGGTTGATAATTTCAGTCAAGAGACAGAAGGAAAGTACTCAGGTATCCATGAAGAGTAAATTATCAGATAGGAGGAGTTCTGAAAAAGTGGAAATGCATGCAAAGAAGAGAAAGTTAAAAGACTGGCAGGAGAGTCAGCCATATGGGAACACATTGGAAAGCACTGAAGATAACCTTCCTGATACCAAAACTAGAGAGGAAAGCAGTGATAGAACAGGAAGGAAAGAGAAGAGATTAAAGACTTCTAAAACTGAGGTAAAGGAGTCTGCTGCAAGTAAAGGTGATGACAGATCTTTCCATAAAGGAAAAACGATGAAAATCATATTGCCCGCTAGTAAAGAGAATTCTGTCGAGAAAAGTCATGAGAAGAATCATCAGCAGGATAAACATAGAGAAGATAGAGAAAAGGCTACTTCTCGACCGAATCTTAGAGAACTTTATTCTTCAAGAAAGGATTTGGAATCTGAACGATTTCTGCTTGCTGCCACTTCAAGTTCTTCAAAGGTTTCAGATTCTTGTAGAAGGGCTAGCTTGCAAGAAAGAAAGGGGTCACCAGTAGAGTCAGTTTCATCATCTCCTATGAGGGCTCTTAATCTGGACAAGCTTTCACCTGCTGTTGGGAGAAATATTTCAAGAAAAGGTCATGCTAAAATTGGTGGTACTGGGACTGAAATTCCAAGAAAGTTAATGGCCAGGGAAGATGATATGAAGGTCCATAGATCTGTGCAAGGCTTACGTGACACTGATGGAAGTCAAAGATTTGGTGGCAAAGTTGAACCGAAACATAAAGAAGCCTCCAAGATTAGGAACACTCATATGATAATGTATGACACTGATGCTGTTATGGAACAGGCAACAGGTCAATCTGATTTGCAAGCTGTAGATAATTGCTGGAGTGATGGTAGAATGAGCACGAAAGACGATGCTACTGGTGCTCTGATTCCACAGAGTTCTGGGAAGGCATCTTCATCAAGGTCCAAGGAAAATGATAGAAGATGTAGTTTCCAAAGAGTAAGGGTAAAGGTGTCTGATTCATTTACTGAGCAAGAACCATATCCTAATAAAATGAGGAGGGTTGAAGTGGATGCTGCTCATTGTGAACCTGCCTCAAATCCTGAAGTAATAGGTGATGGGAGACGGATATATCTAAATGAGTCTAGTGCCAAAGTTAGTAATGATGGTAAGAGTGTGGGCAATAAGATTTCTAGAAGACGGACCGTTGACACCATAGGAGATGAGAAGCCATCATTGATAGAGCATGCTGGATCTGAAGCAAAATTAGGTGATGTGGGTAGTTCAGGAATGAAGCCTGTTAAAAGAGACATGAGAAAAGTATTTGTGGGTGACCTATCAAGGAAAAGGGACTTGAATGAGGAAGAGCAAACAGCAGAAGCTAGCCCTTGCTCTGTAGCTAAGATAGGCGAGTCTGCTCTGGTTCGTCATCTGTCGTCTAGATCTTTGGAAACAACGGCTTTGGATGTACAATCATTTGGCGATTCTGGTCATAATGTGTCCAAAGTATTGAAACATACCGGAGATACTGCTAACCAGAAGGTTAGAAGTCTTGTGACTGACAGTGGTACAATGAAGGATCTTGGTGTTATAAGTTTTGTGAAGGAGTACATATCTAGTCAAACTGCTATGACTGCCTTCAAGAGAGCTGAGGAGTCGAAGGACTATGCTGATCGTATAAAGGTGTGTATTGCTTGCTTAGTTTGGTAAATTTTTTTAGTTTTTTTTTCATAACATTAGGCATAAAAGGGGCTCAGTGGACGTATAAGCAGTTCACATAGAAATGGTTGCATTATAATAGGACATGAATTGTGGAAAATAAGGAGGCATGTTGTAAACAATAAGCCAGCAAAGTCTGAAGTAGTCAATTACAAAATCTTGAAGCCTTAATGGTTTGTGATTTTCTGTTTTTCTCTCCCATCCCCATACTTCTCCCCCTCAAATCAAGGCAATTGACCTTGTAGAAGATGATTTCTCATCCATTTTTAGTCAAGTTTTAGATTCTTTAAATATTTATCAGCTTTTTGATGTTTGACTATTTAACAGAAATGGCACACCATTGTGGATTGGTAATGCCATTCCGATTCTTCTATTCTTATTCTTGTCTATCTTATCTTCCACAGATTTCTGGATTTGATTATGAGTGCAAGGATGCATACTTTGACTCCGCTTTGAAGTTTCTCTATGCTGCTAGTCTTCTAGAGGCCTGCAGCACTGACTTAAGCAAATCAAAAGGAGTGGATCCAGTGAATGTTTACAGTACTTCTGCCAAACTTTGCAAGTAAGTAAAACTTGAATGTTTTGGGAAGAGAATTCTTTGGTTATACCACAATGTTTTTGCAGCGGTATATCTTGTATATTGACATATTAAGTAGTAGGGTCCACAAGCACTATGCTTATTGAACTAATGTTGGCCACGACATCAGTTCTTGCTACCAATACTTTGGAACCTGGCTTAAAACTGTTGGTTTAATCAGTTGAACCAAGACGAGGTCAAAGCAATGGAGCTGGATAGAAGCTCTAAACCAGAAAACCTGCTGACCCGAGCTTGAGCCACCAAACCTGTAACCATTTCATGGTTTTGGTCGATTTGAATACCTTCTAAAAGGATTTGAGCTACCTTTAATAAACCAAGTTGGTCCATTCACACAACCAAAAAACTGGGGGGAAGGGGGGGGGGGAGTCATAGTTTTATAATCATCCAAAGTTAACGGAAACTACTTTCTTTCTCTTTGTAAGTGAAAATTTCAGATTCTCTTTCAATCTGCTATCCATTTTGTAAATACCAAATCTTCAATCAGATATTCAAACAATCAAGAATAGAAATATGAACACTAGAGAGAATCTTGCCAAAAGTAATTTGTATTCAAATTCCAAGAAGATTACAAATGGAAGTTCAACTACCACTAATTACAAAGAGAAAGCTATTTATACCTACAAAGTAATAAAGACAAATTTACAAGGAGAAACACTTGAATACAACAATTAAGCACAACTTAAACCAACCCAACACATTTCTCTATCATTATGTTAAGGTGTCTCTCTCTAGCATGAGTTCTGATATGAATCACTTTAGGAAGAAGCTAATTGATGTCATTAAGAAGTTTTCTTCTTCCTTGAATAAAAGTGGCAATTGGCAACCAATGTACTAGTAAAAAGTTTTCTTTTTTAATGTATTAAATAATATATTGGTATCTAATTGCACAATTATGTTGTCGGCAACATAATAACGTTTTTTTGGATCATCAGCTTAGTGATATTCTGGGCATGGAAATATCTCTTGATTACAGAAGGCATTATTAAGCTAGGTTGATTTTTGATGCTCGACAATATCTTCTACCTTTTGCTTCTAGAATAGTTATACACTTGAACTCACATATTTGAACCCCACTCCACCTGATTGTTAGACATACTTATGAAATCTTGCATGCTTTGTCAAAACTCAAAATCTTGTTGTTTTTGCATAAAATGTGCTGCTTAGATGCTCTAGTTCTTGACCTATGAAAATTGCAGAACTTGTGCTCAAGAATTTGAGAAACAAAAAGAATTGGCTTCTGTGGCACTGGCTTATAAATGCATGGAGGTGGCATATATGAGGATAGTTTATTGCAAGAGCTTGTTGACTAGGCAGGACTTGCAAACAAGTTTGCAAATGGTTACTCATGGTATGTGTATGTCACCTTTATCTCCTATGTTCAGTTGTTTGCATGTTGTGCCTGCCTTCTATTTTTAATTTCAAGCGAAACTATGTTTGTCCCAAACAGGAAAAATTATGTATTTGACCATTTTACCAGGTTTTGGCCTCTACTAAATTTTGTATTTTGTATGGCCACGTAGAGAAGTATCGAGAACCACAAGGGTTGTGGGGTAGTGGTTGAGGCCCAGGGGATGTGGTGTAATATCCCATCTGCGCTGGGTTCAACTCCAGGCATCCATAACAATTGTGGCCACTGAGTTTATCATGACTGATGTCTTACAGTCGCAATTTGCCGGGATTAGCCTAGGCATAGCCCTAGACACCCTTCCAAAAAAAATAGAAGTACCGAGTCTTGTTTGTCCAAGTGAATAGAGATATTGGATTCCCTACACATAATCGTGTCTAGAAGGCCTTTCTGATTTTACAAACCTTGGGTCATTCACCTTTAAATCATATAAAAACACCCCACAAGGGTACAATATTCCAACATAAAATAGGAGCCATAAAATGATCATAGTAGCTTTCATTGTCTAAGAAGTTAGTGTTGGGGATGCCTTTTCTCTCATAAAAAGTAGTTAATGAAGAAAAGTTATTTTAGTGAGGGTTTGAATGTTTCTACATAACATATAAACAAATTAGTTAAAATTAATGCTCTAGGTTTACCGCTTTTGACGCATGTCTAATCTTCTCATAGCCTAACGCTTTTTATATCTGGAATTTTGGGTTCTCTTTTTTCCTTCTCATCCTATCCCCGAAATGTGCCAAGCTGTTCAACGAAAATTATTTTACTTTATTTATTTTTGGCTAGACAAATTGCCACTAAATTTACCATTTTAATTACCAGAGCTTCATTTTCTGATGAAGTAATCTTAGTCTTGAATTATGGAGAACATTTGGCTATATTCTTTGTACCTTACCCTTTTAAATGATCATTAGTTAGTCACAGCCTAGCCTACCGGATCTTGTTTGGTATAAAGGTCCATTTTGTTATTACTACTTTTATGAAATCTGTCGCCTTTTCAGGTGAATCACCATCGTCTTCCGCATCTGATGTTGATAACTTAAACAATCAAGCAACGATGGACAAGACCATGTTGTCTAAGAGCATTGCACATACTGGAAACCATGTTGTTGCTCGAAATCAGGCCAACTTTCTGAGGCTACTTGACTTGGTAAGTTAATACTCTATTATGGAGCATAGCAACTACTTTTATTTGCATAGATATTTGGTCACGGAAATAATGACATGTCTTCAAGTAATTGGTGAGACAGGGAATTTGGGGACAGTAGATTTTTGTTCATTAAGGTGTGCTAACATCAAACTGATAAGAACAACTTCAAAGTGTATTTACTGATGTGCTTGTTCTGATTGGTTCTATCCTTTGGGGTATTCTGGATATATTGGGTTCGTTTGGTTTGATCTGGTCTTGTTCTTGATTCTTGAAACTTAATTGGTTTTTCCAGACAGGTGATGTAAGTCTTGCAATGGAAGCTTCGACAAACACACAGAAAGCTTATGCAACTGCCAGTGCAAGCCTAGAAGAAGCTCAGAACAAAGAGATGATGATTTCAGTCAAAAGGGTTGTTGACTTCAGTTTTCAAGACATAAAAGAAGTTGTGTGTTTGGTTCAACATGCCCGTGAGGCCATCAATCGTCAAGGCTTCAGAGGCAGGGATTAGTTGGCGGCTAAGCTGTATATAACAACATTTTGGCATCTTTTCTCCAGCATGCAAGTGCATGGAGTTTTGTTAATGAGTCGGACCTATCTGTACAAAACAGGATCAGGATCAGGATCAAGATTGAGTTGGTAATACAAGAAAGTATATCATTTTTGACCGAAAAGAGGTAAAAATCGTCCACCCTTTTAGCACTTTGTGATGGTGTTGGGTATATGAGATGAAAACACTGGAGAGGCTTTATGTAGGGTATTGTTGCTCTTTATAACTTTACATGATGATCCAATTGGTTAGCTTTTACCATAAAATATTTAAATTTAGAACAAAAAATCTCATAGGATTTGTAACAGAGTTTGGATTCTTTTTTGATAATAGAAAGACATTTGTTGTCATAAGTTTCCCGTATGAGCTCAACTGCCTTATACATCAAGATTAATTACTCTTGAATTTGATTTCTTCCCTTGGTAGACCTCCCACTGTGCTGTAAGGCATTGAGTTAAGTCATGCAAAATGTACAATCCTCGTGTTTAGTTGGCATGATTGAGTTTGGAATCCTCAACAGATTAAGATGACGAAAGGTAAGGATGATATCAAGTCATCATGCTTCTGATGCCTAGGAGTTTTTATGGAAACTGTCGCTTTTTACCCCTTGGGATGGTCCGGCTGGATGTCAGATTTGCGTGGATTCAATCCCATACCCATACTTAGATGGGATATCTGGAATGGTTTGGTTTGGTTTGGTTTGCATGCATAGTTTTATCGTGATTTCTACATGTATGTGTCATTATTTATGAGTTTGTTTTGTTTTGGAAGTATATGCACTTATGAAGGTTTGACACAAAAACAAAACAACAAAGGAATGTTGCAATCATTGTTTGAGAACCTAAGGTGAATGGAAACCATGATATATAGACTTTGAGTAGAACTCACCTTTAATAGCTACCTCAAATGAGGAAGGTGCCCATTGTTCACGATCTGGTGATATGCGACAGATACTACTTGAACGACTTTTGAACTATATAGACTTAAATTGAACCCCACTCTCTATATGGCTTTTTATATGTACAACAAGCGTTGTTAATGGCTAGGCGTAATCCACAACTTTGACCGAATGACTACACACCAAACTCCGACTAGTGATGCACTAACGATAAAAAGAAAGGGTTCAAATTATACCTTAAATCGTCAATAAGGTAACTAAATCAAACCAAACACATTTAGTATATTCCATGAAAATGGAGCTTGGAAGGGATGAAATGAACACAAACATCACCTTAACTTAAAGAGTAGAACAACTATTTTCATGATACTTCTGGATTCCTACTAGTGCATAGCATCGAAAAATATGAGGTACAAACTAAAGTTACAAAAAGAGGAAATAAGAAAAACTTTTTTTTTTGATTAACCTGGATATCTAACCTGCTATGTGAGCCGACTAATCCCAAGGCGACCACCTGCTTTGCAGATAGTCCGAAGTCACCGCATATGAACCTCCGTGGCCACAAGGGGATTTTTATTCCCCCTTGGATTTGAACCTGAGACCTCCTGGTACTTTTGATCTTTGGAGCCAAGCTCAAACCAATCAGGCACCATCCTTGTGGTTAATAAGAAAAACTTTAAAAACAATAGAGTTGAAAACAATAAAGATAATACTTACTATTTCTTTTTTTTTTTTAAAAAAACAAGTTAAAAAGAAGCAATCAAACTTCAAATTGACAAACAAAGAAAACATACCAATAGAAGCATATGCATGAAAACATAACCAAGAAGCAGTACAATTGATATCTTTTTATCTAATGGAATTAATCGTGAGTCACAAAGGATGAAATCCAATGTATTGCAATAATGATCGATTAATTCCAACTTGTAACAAAAATCGGAAATCTTTTGACAATCGAAAGTAAACAAGAAGGAGATGAACTTTGGAATACTAGAACTTGGATTAAACTTGGAAACAAGAACAAGGTAGCATATTAACTTCAACAATTTCGGTTCTTGTTAAGCAAGAAAATGGAAAGCTAGAAAGCAATAATAATCAAAAGTTAAATTAAACCCAAAGGTTAATTATGAGTTTTAAGGCTAACAATAACTCCTATTTATAACAAAGACAAGATTTAGGAAGGAAGTTAGGTCAAGTAGTACAAAAGGGAAGCTTAAACTATAAGCTAGCTCATAACTCATGTCTAAAATCTGCAACAAAAGTCGTAAGTTCAAAGTTCTGGTCCAAAAGTAAAGATGCGGCTCACTGCACACTCCTGTAGGGGACTGCTACAACACCACCCCATCAAAAGAATTATGTAGGATTGTTACAGGACTGGTCAGAAACTTTAAAAATCTCCATAATTAACAAATTAACCTAACATTATGACATAATACTACTATTTTATATAAAACTCAGAAATTACATATATGATTAAAAGGATTCAATTTAGACACTAATGAGCAAATAAAACAACGGAAAATGATTAAGAAATGATGTAATAGGGTTAATGAATTAACACCTATCACACCTCCAAACTTGAAATTTTTTTGTCCCAAAACAAGAAAAATGACAAATTGAAAGACTTAAATTGCTAATAAACTAAAACAAATAGAACATGATCACTTGATAGCCAAAGTATGCTTGTTTTTTTGTTGTTGATATTTTAGAAAGGAGTGTTCTAATCCTACTTGATGCTTAATATACATGGCCCTTTATAAACTTAGTTCCCCCAAACTTTAAGTCTTCGACATTGCCAAACCATAAGCTAGTCTTTATTTTATTTATACACTTGATTCAACAAAGGTTTTGGGACTTTCAATTGGGTTTTGTATTTGATTTTTTCTTTTCGATGCATGCCTTTTTCCCTATCTCTCTTTTTCATTCCATAGCACAATTTTATTGCTATGAATCTTATATAGAGGTATGTTTGGACACTTTGGTCCCTTTCAAACAAATTGGTGTCCATTGACACTCTTTTTATGCACAAGATATAAAACTTTTGTTCTCCGTTTGTATTTTGGTCTTAGTGCATGTGTTTCATGTGTTCTATAGTGTGTGTGTATTTAGGACCCTCCTGCAAACTTGAGGGAAGCAATGTCCTCATTGTGTGAATATGAAGGCTACAAGTATTGGCCAAAAGAAATGATAGCCCAAGTGAATGAAGGTGAAAGCTTTAAAAATGGTTGGCTAGTTCTAGGGGCTCAATTAAAAAACAAAGATAGGTAAGCTTTTGATTATTGTGGCTATATCATCAAGTCAAGCATTTGTAAAACAACGTTCATGATTTATGATATTTTTGTACATACAAGGCTAAAAGAAAGTGTATGTTTAGAAACTTAGTTCCCAAAATAAAATGACTCAAAGCTAAGCAGCTATTGAAACAGAAAAAGTAAAGGTGATCAAGCATAAATATGGTATGATCATCTTAAATGAAAAATAAACAAAAACAAATAAGAGAGGGAATGTCTCTTATGATCACAACAAATACTCAAAACAACAAATTAATATATAAAGTAGGGTAAGGATACAAAACTTGTCATACTCATATTGAGTAGGAAAACCTGAGTGCGGTAGTAGGATTGATTTGGGGAGAGGTGGTAAGTCAATTACAACCTTTGCCTTTCCATGCTGCAAGGATGCCTTCATGATCCTGTCATTCTGATGCTTGTACTCTGCCCACTGTATCATTTTCTTCTTCAGAATGTCAATATCTTCTTTTCATTGCATTCACCTTTTTCATCAATTTGTGATGTTTCTTCAATATGGTCCATTTGAGGGCAGTGGCATTGATAAATATACAAAAGCATACACTTTAGCACTCAATTATGTCTTTATTTTACTTCATTTTACACCTTTCCCAATCCTATATTGTGTCTTATAGTCTTATTTTATGGTTTTACATTTTGTGGAACTAGGATGCAGGAATGGTATTGTCTTATGAATTTGGTGAGTATAATGCTGACACAGGAATTGCTGTAGTAGGTGTATACGTTGCTGCCACACTGGACGCTGGATATTGGCACAACTGGCTCTATCCCGTTGAATAAATTAAAAAGTCAACTTTTTGAAGAAATGCATCTTCTAGTACTGATAGAAGGCGATTTAGATGGAAGATGCCATTGCAAAGATATCTTAACTTTTTGTAATAAAAGCATCTTCTTTGGAAGGCTGTTCAATCCAATAGTGTTGTAAAGAGCTATTTATCACTTCACTGCTGAAATCCAACCTGATCTTGCATCCGTACTATCTATTAATTATTGTTTTATTTCAGTATTTGGTTACTAACTCTCGCAAAGATATTTTCTCTCTAAATCTTTATTGGTTCCTAAAACCCTCTTCGAAAATCTCACTTTATGTCATGTATACTTGTTTGATTTACTTGTTATTATAGCCTTTTGATGGTATAGTTACCTCCAGACCAAGTTTTAGGCTACGTTGCCGGGGATTTTTAGCCAAAAAAAGTTTTTCTTTAAGCTACTTTAAAATTTGATTTTTCTACCATCAAGTGTTTATTTTTAGTGGTTTACGCCAAGGATACCCTACAGGACTATTTTTTAGTTAGATCCGGACATTGAAAGAACCTTTAGAAGGAGAAGAAGGATACAAAGAAATTTGTTGCCTATTCTAGCTACTCCTGAAATGGCTCAAGTCGGACCTGATCCAATACCCAATCCTGGGTGAGGTTATTAGGCTTACAAATTCAAGGACTGGTGGCATCGTGGACTATACTCTTCCAATGCTAAATCAATTACATCTTGGAATATGTAGGCCCACTATTAATGGTGACCACTTTGAATTTAAGCTCATCATGTTTCACATGTTACAAACAAATGATCAATATGTTGGATTACCATATGAGGATCCTCATTTGCATCTTAGATCTCTTATGGAAGTCACTGACTCTTTCCATCTTAATGGAATTTTTGATGAAGCCTTAAGGCTGAAGTTATTTCCTTTTTCATTAAGATACAAAGCCAAGATGTGGTACAACTCTTTGCAACAAGACTCAGTCATCACATGGAATGGAATGAGATGACAGAGAAGTTTTTAAAGAAATATTTTCCTCCAACCAGGAGTGCCAAGTTCAGAAATGAAATTTGTCTTTTTAGACATCTGGATGATGAAGCAGTTCCTGATGCTTGGGAGAGGTACAAGGAATTACCAAGGAAATGCCCACATCATGGCATACCCTACTGCATACAACTAGAAACATTTTACAATGGTCTTGATACCACTGCTAAACAAATGTTAGATGCTACTATAGGTGGAGCCTTTACTTCCAGTACCTATAATGGTGGTTTTGATATTTTGGAGAAAATTTCTAACAACAATGGTCACTAGGCAGATCCT